CCCCCGGGCGCCCCGAGGCCTCGCCGGGCTGTCCGGCCTCCCGACCCGCGAGCCCGTCCGCCAGCCCCGTTTCTCTCCCTGGAATGCTCGGTTTCTCGCGATCCCTACCTTTTCACCGAAGCGCGCTGAAGGCAGCTCTAGGACGACCCTGTCACTTTCCGCTGCTCACGCCCAGCCGCCGCGTCCAACGGCTCGCAGGATTCAAATTCGCCCACTTCCGCTCGCAGCCCGGAAGGAGCGCGCGGCCCCCTCCGCGCGGGGCCCGGCTCGGGCGCGGGCTGGGCCGGGGCTGGCTCCTCGGTGTCCCCTTCGCTCTGGTTTCCTGTGCCCAGTCTCTCAGCCTTCTTAGGCCCTCCGAGGGGTGCGGGGACGTGGGGGTCGTTTGTTCCCCAGGGCTCTCCAGAGGCTCCACGGGAGCGTGCAGTGCACCGCACCGCGCCGGAGTTCCCGGAGCGGGCGGATGTGAGCGCTTGCAGCCGGGGGACTGTTACCCCTCCCCTCGTCCGCGAGTAAACAGCGCTGGGCGGAACGGAAAAAACAAACTCTGCGCACCAGGACTTGGAAAATTCTTTCCAGGCTTTGTCTAAGGGAAACAAAAAGCCTGGTACAGCAGTCACCTCTAATCCAGCCACAGATTGAAAATTAGGGATCATTTTACAAAACTAGTACGTTCACTCCCGTGAGATTCGAGGGGAAGCAGTTTTCTTTTACCAAGAATAATATATTTTTGATCCAGAAAGACTGTAGCTTCTAAAGGCAGATAGTTGGGAGCTTTAAGAAACTAAAGCTCTGGACAAGCATTTAAGTGGGCTGGTGGAGGAAGGGAGAAAGTTAACTTTTCAGGCTGCTATTATGCGCGCATGTAACAGCATTAATTTACCTGTTTAAACTGAGCCATGACAGGGTTCCCCTGGGACCTGTCGAAAATACAATTTGAAGATGTGTATGTACGTGTACCAAGTCTCCACGAGGAATGTAATCATTAAGTGCTGCCGACAGGTACTAATAAAAATTTTAAAATACAAGTTGAAAGATTTGCTAGATTAGGAATTTACAGATAATCTGGTATGGGGAGGCTATAAAACTATTTATGTACTGTTTTTAATAGCGGAAAATCGGAAGCAATCTGTGTCTACCAATGAGAAAATGGGTACTTAAATTATAATGTAGGATCTGATGTACAGACGCTGCAGGCTCTAAAATAATAAAGATCAGTAAGATGACTGAGAGGAAAAGAGCTTTAGAATTACCATGGTATCTTATTAAAGTGTGTGTACATTGGGTTAAAAGATTTCAAGATTCATAAACTGTGAACAGTTATCTGTAGAAATAGAAGTGGCAAATGTAGGTGGTAAGAAGAGATGGAGGACTTTTACTTTATAACCACTTCAGATTTTTAAGTAATAAATGTTTTACTTTTGCCATTTTCTTTTTAATGAAAGATTATTAAAAATTGAGTACATTCTGGATCTATAATCAGGTGTAATAAAGTATAATGTTTGGATAGTGTCTGCTTTACTGATTGGACAATTGCACAATAATGATTTTGTCATCATGAAATATATTATTTAATATCTACATTTCTAATATGTCGCCATTAAATATACAGCTCCTTGAAGTTCCTTCAAAGGCAAAAACTAGAGCCCCGTGTGGTGGTGTACATCTGTAATCCCAGCGCTTCAGAGGCTGAGGTAGGAGGATCGCTGTGACTTCCAGGCCAGCCTGGCATACATAATGATTTCAAGGCCAGCCTGAACTACATAGTGAGATCCTGTATCAAAAAAAACAAACCAAACAAAAAATGCAGAAACTAGATCGCACATTTTCCTGTCATAATACTTGGTACCTTCTCATCATTAAGTTTCAGTCTTCACAGTAGTTAAAGTCTCAAGTGACCCGCAAGCAAAGTTTAATAGTTTCAGACTGCCCTTGAAAAGCATCCCCAAATAGACAACCGTAAATGTGTGTATATACACCTACATACATGATTGTCTGTACAACTCAAAAGTTCATAAAAATTTTGTTGCTTACTTCTTAGTTGGTCTTTTCCTAGGACTTGATGAATTCTTCAGTTTCTTCCACTCAAATCTTGACTAAGTTATCATGAACCTAGCCACTAGTCAGACCAATTCGTTTCTCATCCGCAGTGGAGAACTCTGCAGTCATTCACGTTTTTTCCCAAGATTACCCAGGCTTCACTGTGTAAGTTGCTTAGGCCTAGTGTTGAGCATCACATTCAGTTATTTGTAGTATTTACTGTTTTCCCACCCCACAGTATGTATAGGTGATTTTGAATACAGTCAATAGCAAAGTAATGCACTTGGTGAAAAAAAAGTTCAGTAAACTTCCACTGACTAAGTTAAGCTAGCAGAGTAAACACAGATTTAGAAACTTCTTTCCTTGCAGGACGTATTGAGCAAGATGGCCATCATACTCGCATTCTGATAGCTGATAAAATTGTAAGTGAAATATATGGATATTTCATTTAATAAAAGCTAAAGTAAACTGAAAAAGCAAAAAACAAAGGATTTGATTCCTCATATCTGATAACCCTTCAGTAATCTGAACTAGCTGAGTACTGAATCCATAAAAAATTTGAATCAGAGATAATGCCCCAGTTTTCCTCCTACTATTCACTACTTATGCAGCAGGAAACAGACAAAACCACTCCTGGGACCAAGAGCCATCCTGCTTACATGCAATAGCCAAATATTACACTGCTTTGGCAGGGAGGTTCTTAAATCTACTTTGAAAGGTTCTTAGCACAACCAACATAAGTGACGAAAATAATATAGCGCCTGGAGATAAATGTTAAAGAAAGATATAGAACCTGTTCTAGGAGGATTGTAAATTGAAATATAATGTACATATTAGAGAGAGAGAGATTAGAAAGGTAATTATGACTTAATATGGAAGAGCTTTGTTAAAATAAGACAGGACTCCTCTAAAGCATAAAGTAAAAGCAAGCACCTATAATAAAATTATTTGTATAGCACAAGTCACCATAAAACATCAAAAGATAAATGAGATGCCGTAGGAGAATGTTTGTAAAATTTATGACTACTAGATTAACATCTCTGATGTTGAAACTTTTTATAATTTAATTTTTTCAGAAATAAAAATGGGCACAAAAATGAACATCTGGACATCTTATTGTTTATTCCCCCAAAGTAACTCTGACCAAATTTCCCTCAATTTCAGCGTTTGCCAATAGACATAAACATAATCTTGCTTTTGGAAGCACTACTCATATTGACTCTCAACTGTAAGCAGTTATCAAGAGGGAGATAAGTTAAACTGCAGTATACTATTAGAAAGCCTTCCAAAGCTGTCTTGCTTTGCTTTGCTCCCTCAAACTGCTGCCTCCAAAATTAGGGCTATTGAACTCCCAAATAAAAGTGAAGTATAGTACATTGTAATTAGAAAAGTAACAATACTCTGCAGTCATGCTGTAAGTTTAGCACTCACCTAGAATGAGCACATATCATTGGATTAAATTGTGCTCTGTGGCCACAACTCTTTTCTCCCCATGTGTTAGCCACACTGAAGTTCTGGTAACGCTTCCTGCCTTCCAAGAATCTTTTGTCTTGATCCCCATCTGTTCACAGATGAAGCAAGTACAGTACTTGCCCCATGCATGTGGCAGCTACTGATAATTTTCTTTTCCTCACTTAAGAAATCTTAAGCATTCCTACTGTACTCATGATTTTGTTATTGCTTCTGCATTTACCTCGGGTTTGTTTATGTCATATCTCCATTTTATGATCTTTTATTTCTGTATTAGTATTTATTATTATTCCTTTATTATTATGAATCATCTCGGGTATAAATTATAATGAGAATATTGTACAAAACAATTATTTGACTGGTGTTGGTGTATGGCATCTACTATGCTACCAGTAGTGGTAATAAATCTTTTGTTTCTTTTTAAAGCAGAATTTCTTTGGAGGTGTTGAGGATTGAACCTAGGGCTTGCACATGCATGTATTTTCTAAAATGTTTCTTACATTTTAGAAAATACATAATATATTAGTTTGCCTGATCAGTCTTCTTACATCATTTTTTTAACTTGAATAAAACATACATTTTAGGAAAAGTAGCTTGTTTGCTACCAAATTAACTTCTTTACTTGTTGTCTCATTCACTTGAATATTTTGATCTAAAATTGTAATCTAGCAGTGGCTCCGTGTCTTTTAAGCAAAACATACCACCTCCTGACTGTAGGAAGCGTCAAAGACAACAGTGAATTTCAGGTCTCTTATTTCAGGGTTGTTTGGATAATAAGTAGATACATTAACAGCAGTGATTTGGAAGGATGCTATTCCTGCTGAGTAACTGTGGTTTTAACAAGAACAGCTCAAAGTTTACTTGTAACCAGGGTATTCTAATGCAGGTCAGAGGTATGGTTGTTTATGTTAGCATTATCTCTCTTCAGGTTGGTGTTTCAAACAAATTGTTGTCTGGATTGCTTTTTTAAATTGCTGTTTTTTGCCTTGAAGTGTTTACATATAAATTACAGCTTCTTTACAGTTAAGAGTAACTCCAAATGCAGGAGCACACACTGGTAATGCCACCCAGCATAAATCAAGTAGTGAACAACATGCTTGAACTGAATTGTAAACATTCTTGGATATAATTGTTGGCAATCAAAATTGTTTTCAGTTTATTTTGTGTATTTTGATTTCTCACTTCCTCCAGAATGGTAAAGGAAAATAACTTTTCAACTGAGTTGATAAAGCGATTCAGTTATAATGAGCCCAGCTCTCACCTGTGTGGCTTGAATAAGGTAGA